TGTTTTTCCTTTATTTGAAAATTTTAATTTTTTTTTGAAGAATGATATTTTTATTTATAAATTTCAGGCATCCTTTTATCCAAATTTTATCACCTCTAATTAATCTCTAATTAATCTCTTCTAAATGAAATCGAATTCCTTAATGTATTGTTTAAAATTTCCTATTTTCCGCCATTTTTCCTTGACATCAGTTTTTCCCCCTTTTTAAATATTTCTTAATTTTTTTTGAAGAATGATATTTTTATTTATAAATTTCAGGCATCCTTTTATCCAAATTTTATCACTTTTAATTAATCTCTAATTAATCTCTTCTAAATGAAATCGAATTCCTTAATGTAGTGTTTAAAATCTCCTATTTTCCGCCATTTTTCCTTGACATCAGTTTTTCCCCCTTTTTAATATTTCTTAATTTTTCAGAATCACATTTTTATTCATTTTCAGGCATCTTTTTACCCAAATTTTATCACTTCTAATTAATCTCTAATTAATCTCTTCTAAATGAAATCGAATTCCTTAATGTAGTGTTTAAAATTTCCTATTTTCCGCCATTTTTCGTCTCCCTTTTTCAATCTTATTATCTAATTTTCTTTTTACCTCGAGGCTCGAATGAAAATTAAATTTTCCTTATACTATAACAAGCCATTTGATCCATTTCCCATCAGTCTCCATTTTCTGACAATCTATCTTATTTTTTTTTTGCTATTTGTATCAATTTTCTTCACACTTATTTTTCCAATCTTGTGAAATCGTGATTAATGAATATTTTCCTATTTTCCAATATACTCCTTTCCTCATTATTATTTTTCTTTTTTTAATTCTGTTATTACATTTTCATTATAGTGCACACTGTAATTATATTTTCACACTTTTCTTATGCATTCCAATCATTAAAATCGATTTCCTTAATTTAGTGTTTAAAATTTCCTATTTTCCGCCATTTTTTATCTTCCTTTTCCAATCTTATTATCTAATTTTCTTTTTACCTCGACGCTCGAATGAAAATTAAATTTTCCTTATACTATAACAAGCCATTTGATCCATTTCAGTCCCCATTTTCTGACAATCTATCTTATTTTTATCTAATTTTGCTATTTGCATCAATTTTCTTTCCATTTATTTTTCCCCTATTGTGAAATCGTAATTAATGAATATTTTCCTATTTTCCAATATACCTTTGCTCCTTACAATTTTTCTTTTTTTAATTCTGTTATTATATTTTCACACTTTTCTTATTTTCCAATATACCTTTCCTTATTATTCTTCTTTTTTTAATTCTGTTATTATATTTTCATTCTGTTATTATATTTTCATTATAATGCACACTGTAATTATATTTTCACACTTTTCTTATGCATTCCAATCATTAAAATCGATTTCCTTAATTTAGTGTTTAAAATTTCCTATTTTCCGCCATTTTTCATCTTCCTTTTCCAATCTTATTATCTAATTTTCTTTTTACCTCGATGCTCGAATGAAAATTAAATTTTCCTTATACTATAACAAGCCATTTGATCCATTTCAGTCCCCATTTTCTGACAATCTATCTTATTTTTATCTAATTTTGCTATTTGCATCAATTTTCTTTCCATTTATTTTTCCCCTATTGTGAAATCGTAATTAATGAATATTTTCCTATTTTCCAATATACCTTTGCTCCTTACAATTTTTCTTTTTTTAATTCTGTTATTATATTTTCACACTTTTCTTATTTTCCAATATACCTTTCCTTATTATTCTTCTTTTTTTAATTCTGTTATTATATTTTCATTCTGTTATTATATTTTCATTATAGTGCACACTGTAATTATATTTTCACACTTTTCTTATGCATTCCAATCATTAAAATCGATTTCCTTAATTTAGTGTTTAAAATTTCCTATTTTCCGCCATTTTTCATCTTCCTTTTCCAATCTTATTATCTAATTTTCTTTTTACCTCGACGCTCGAATGAAAATTAAATTTTCCTTATACTATAACAAGCCATTTGATCCATTTCAGTCTCCATTTTCTGACAATCTATCTTATTTTTATCTAATTTTGCTATTTGCATCAATTTTCTTTCCATTTATTTTTCCCCTATTGTGAAATCGTAATTAATGAATATTTTCCTATTTTCCAATATACCTTTGCTCCTTACAATTTTTCTTTTTTTAATTCTGTTATTATATTTTCACACTTTTCTTATTTTCCAATATACCTTTCCTTATTATTCTTCTTTTTTTAATTCTGTTATTATATTTTCATTATAATGCACACTGTAATTATATTTTCACACTTTTCTTATGCATTCCAATCATTAAAATCGATTTCCTTAATTTAGTGTTTAAAATTTCCTATTTTCCGCCATTTTTCATCTTCCTTTTCCAATCTTATTATCTAATTTTCTTTTTACCTCGATGCTCGAATGAAAATTAAATTTTCCTTATACTATAACAAGCCATTTGATCCATTTCAGTCCCCATTTTCTGACAATCTATCTTATTTTTATCTAATTTTGCTATTTGCATCAATTTTCTTTCCATTTATTTTTCCCCTATTGTGAAATCGTAATTAATGAATATTTTCCTATTTTCCAATATACCTTTGCTCCTTACAATTTTTCTTTTTTTAATTCTGTTATTATATTTTCACACTTTTCTTATTTTCCAATATACCTTTCCTTATTATTCTTCTTTTTTTAATTCTGTTATTATATTTTCATTCTGTTATTATATTTTCATTATAGTGCACACTGTAATTATATTTTCACACTTTTCTTATGCATTCCAATCATTAAAATCGATTTCCTTAAAATCATTAAAATCGATTTTCACACTTTTTTTCTGTATTTTAATATTATTCCTTTCCTCCTTATTATTTTTCTTTTTTTAATTCTGTTATTATATTTTCACACTTTTCTTATGCATTCCAATATACTTTTCCTCATTATTTTTCTTTTTTTAATTCTGTTATTATATTTTCATTCTGTTATTATATTTTCATTATATTTTCATTCTGTTATTATATTTTCATTATATTTTCATTATATTTTCATTCTGTTATTATATTTTCATTATATTTTCATTCTGTTATTATATTTTCATTATATTTTCATTCTGTTATTATATTTTCATTATATTTTCATTCTGTTATTATATTTTCATTATATTTTCATTCTGTTATTATATTTTCATTATATTTTCATTCTGTTATTATATTTTCATTATATTTTCATTATAGTGCACACTATTATTATATTTTCACACTTTTCTTATGTATTTCAATATTATTCCTTTCCTCCTCATTATTTTTCTTTTATTAATTCTGTTATTATATTTTCATTGTTATATCACGTTATTCATGTTATTCACTGTTATATTTTCACACTTTTCTTATAATTTAAAAATCTTCCTCTTCTCTATCTTCTCTTTTACCCTTTTATCCAGCTTTTCTATTGACTTTTCTATTTTTCCAACTCTTCCAACAATTAATTTTCCCCAACCAGTTTACCATTTTGAATTTTAATTTTTCTTTTTATCTCCCTTCCATTTTAGCTTTCAAATTTCTGTTATTTTCTTCTACGCCTCCCATTCATTTCTTTGTTCGATGTTTTGCAACATATTCCCTTATTCTCCTTATTATTTTTCTATTTTTTAATTCTGTTATTATATTTTCACACTTTTCTTATAATTTAAAAATCTCTCTCTTCTTTTTCTTCCCTTTACCCTTTTATCCAGCTTTTCTATTGACTTTTCTATCTTTCCAACTCTTCAAGTTTTTAGTTTTTAGTTTTTAGTTTTCCCCAATCAGTTTACCATTTTGAATTTTAATTTTTCTTTTTATCTCCCTTCCATTTTAGCTTTCAAATTTCTCTTATTTTCTTCTACGCCTCCCATTCATTGCTTTGTTCGATGTTCTTGTAACTTATTCTTTACTTTTTCTTTTTCCGTTAAAAAATTTCTTCATTTTTATTTCTCATCTCACACATATCATCTCAATTTGTTTACCTCTCACTTTCTCCTTCATATTTTTCATTTCCTCCAACACCACCTTTAGCATTTGCAGTATGGCGCTATGCTATACACCCTTCTTTCATTTTCTCCGTCTAAATCCTCCAGTTGCTAACATATTCCTTTCTCTATTCATCCCATTGCATCATCCTTCTCCCTAACGGCTCTTGGGATATTTAATCTCTCTCGTTCTACATTCCTTTTCACTCTTAAATATTCGAATAACGCTTATGGTCTCTCTTTCACGTGTTATTTTTCATTTTTTTTGACAATTTTCTTCACCCACAACAATGTTTATTATATCTCTCTTTCTGCATTCTTAATTACCAAACAGAGCTAGGTAAACATTATTTCAAATAATAAATAATTCAGTCTATTTTAGATCACACGTCTTATTTATTAAACAAATTTTTATAATAATAAAATTTTTTCCCAGGTGTAGCTGAACATCCTCTATAACACATACAAAGAGGCTTCACAATCATTTTACATAAAGTAGAGCTAGGTAAATAATTATTTCAAATAGTAAATGATTCAGTCTATTTTAAATAACAAGTGTACTTTCGATAATAAAATATCCTATTTATCGAACAAATTTTTCTAGTATTAAAAATACAAAGGGTCTTCACAATCATTTTGCATAAAGTAGAGCTAGATAAATAATTATTTCAAATATTAAATGATTCAGTCTATTTTATATCATACGTGTTATTTATTGAACAAATTTTTATAATAGTAAAATTTTTTCCCAGGTGTGAACATCCTGTATACCACAATCATTTTACAAACATTAAAATTCAAGTTGGACAATTGGTGTTCGTGGTGAGAACGGAAAACCAATTTAAGTTACGTTTTCGACGTTCTTTGGTCGACTGTGCGTCGCTGTTTCGGAAGACAGTAGTCGCGGGTCGGTTAGCCGGCGCGCGATGCGCGCGCACGTCGGATTTCCGCGGGAGTTGGCGCCTCCGCCGCGCTCCGTCCGCGCGTCGGCCCCTCAGTAGGCCACTGTCACTCCGTCGAGCTGCATTTGCCCGCGGAGTACACTTTCTCCCGCCCACGCGAGATTACAGCGCGCGAATCCAATCGAATTTTCCCGCGAGTCACTCGATCTCCAGGTTATCCTCTATCTTTCTCTCTCTTTTTCCCCCATCTATCCATCTTTCTCTTTCCCTCTCGAGAGATCGTCAAATCCTTATTACACAAGTACATGTGCAAACAACAACGATACCCTTGAATCACTTCCACCGGTTGTACACTCGATATCCGCGATCTCTACTAAACTCGTATTCTTTGATCGTTGATTTACGCACCGATTTAATCAACCTCGAGGATCGAGCTTCCGTGCACTTCTGACGCTCAGGTTCCTCGTGTCTAGCTGGTGCATCTTTCGTGAACGTAAAAAACGGAGACTTCTCTTCCCTCTAGTTATCGTCTTGTGTCTTTTTAATGGTTGTGGCGTCCAGGAACGGTTTACGGCGACTTTCATTGTCTTTTATATGACTTTTCTCTCTCGGGCGTGCTTGGATTTCATCAGGATGGTAACTCCTATCTACCAGCGCCAAGTTGTGGTCAAGGCGTTCATCCCCTGGTCCGGACGAATTTTGCCTTTCGACGGATCTTCATTGTCCGGAGCAGTCCCTTTTTTTCTTTAAAGAATCCTCATCCTCATTCTTATCAAGTGTGAAGAAGCCTCCAGGCACTACGAACCCAAGAAAGGGAATAGTACCAGAAAACTTGAAACTGTCCTCCTTTTCCTGCAAGTGAAACTTTGCTCGTTGGTAGCAGTGCTTTGTACGAGATTACATCGTTTCGTTCTCTTAATTAGATCGTGATTTTCTCGTGCAACACTTTTAATCTGAATCCGAATGTATCAAGTTCTTTGTTCGCTGAAATAAAGAGGCGAAGCAGAGACACCGAAAATCTACTGGAAGCTGCTCATCCATTAACGCGATGCACGTGCTTCTTTCTCGATTTACCAAAGGCTTCGCGGGCTTTAAACGCGGAAAAAGAATTACGCTTCCGACGCAATGCTTTCGCGACTTCGTAAAAGGCTCCTGGAGGACGTTTGCGGAATAGATTTCCCTTTCCTTTCGGTTCGTTATTATCGAGTAGCGGGATAAAAGGGTCCACAACGTTTCTCTCGTTATCCTGCTTCTCACGTTACGTTACAAAATTCAATTTTATATCAATTTTAATTCTTTTTTGTTCAATTTATAACATCAGCTGCAAGAATATTTCAACCCTCTGCTCTCCTGTGTCGAATTTGACTCGACATTTTTTCAAGTCCAAACCAAAGAGATATACATACACTTGAAAAATTCTTTTTCGTTAAATTTATATTCAGCTGCAAGAAAATTTCATACTATCTGCTCTCCTGTGTCGAATTTGACTTGATATGAGTTTCTATCTCAGAAACTCCTTTTTCAAGTCCAAACCAAAGAGATATACACTTGAAAAATTCTTTTTCGTTAAATTTATAACTTCAGCTGCAAGAATATTTCAACCCTCTGCTCTCCTGTGTCGAATTTGACTCGACATTTTTTCAAGTCCAAACCAAAGAGGTATACATACACTTGAAACATTCTTTTTCGTTAAATTTATATTCAGCTGCAAGAAAATTTCATACTATCTGCTCTCCTGTGTCGAATTTGACTTGATATGAGTTTCTATCTCAGAAACTCCTTTTTCAAGTCCAAACCAAAGAGATATACACTTGAAAAATTCTTTTTCGTTAAATTTATAACTTCAGCTGCAAGAATATTTCAACCCTCTGCTCTCCTGTGTCGAATTTGACTCGACATTTTTTCAAGTCCAAACCAAAGAGGTATACATACACTTGAAACATTCTTTTTCGTTAAATTTATATTCAGCTGCAAGACAATTTCAAACTATCTGCTCTCCTGTGTCGAATTTGACTTGATATGAGTTTCTATCTCAGAAACTCCTTTTTCAAGTCCAAACCAAAGAGATATACACTTGAAAAATTCTTTTTCGTTAAATTTATAACTTCAGCTGCAAGAATATTTCAACCCTCTGCTCTCCTGTGTCGAATTTGACTCGACATTTTTTCAAGTCCAAACCAAAGAGGTATACATACACTTGAAACATTCTTTTTCGTTAAATTTATATTCAGCTGCAAGAAAATTTCATACTATCTGCTCTCCTGTGTCGAATTTGACTTGATATGAGTTTCTATCTCAGAAACTCCTTTTTCAAGTCCAAACCAAAGAGATATACACTTGAAAAATTCTTTTTCGTTAAATTTATAACTTCAGCTGCAAGAATATTTCAACCCTCTGCTCTCCTGTGTCGAATTTGACTCGACATTTTTTCAAGTCCAAACCAAAGAGGTATACATACACTTGAAACATTCTTTTTCGTTAAATTTATATTCAGCTGCAAGACAATTTCAAACTATCTGCTCTCCTGTGTCGAATTTGACTTGATATGAGCTTTTATCTCAGAAACTCCTTTTTCAAGTCCAAACCAAAGAGATATACACTTGAAAAATTCTTTTTCGTTAAATTTATAACTTCAGCTGCAAGAATATTTCAACCCTCTGCTCTCCTGTGTCGAATTTGACTCGACATTTTTTCAAGTCCAAACCAAAGAGATATACATACACTTGAAACATTCTTTTTCGTTAAATTTATATTCAGCTGCAAGAAAATTTCAAACTATCTGCTCTCCTGTGTCGAATTTGACTTGATATGAGTTTTTATCTCAGAAACTCCTTTTTCAAGTCCAAACCAAAGAGATATACACTTGAAAAATTCTTTTTCGTTAAATTTATAACTTCAGCTGCAAGAATATTTTAACCCTCTGCTCTCCTGTGTCGAATTTGACTCGACATTTTTTCAAGTCCAAACCAAAGAGATATACATACACTTGAAACATTCTTTTTCGTTAAATTTATATTCAGCTGCAAGAAAATTTCAATCTATCTGCTCTCCTGCGTCGAATTTGACTTGATATGAGTTTTTATCTCAGAAACTCCTTTTTCAAGTCCAAACCAAAGAGATATACACTTGAAACATTCTTTTTCGTTAAATTTATATTCAGCTGCAAGACAATTTCAAACTATCTGCTCTCCAGTGTCGAATTTGACTTGATATGAGTTTTTATCTCAGAAACTCCCTTTTCAAGACCAAACCAAAGAGATATACACTTGAAAAATTCTTTTTCGTTAAATTTATATTCAGCTGCAAGAAAATTTCAATCTATCTGCTCTCCTGCGTCGAATTTGACTTGATATGAGTTTTTATCTCAGAAACTCCTTTTTCAAGACCAAATCAAAGAAATATACATTTGAAAATTACAAAATATAATAATCTTTAATTAACATAAATTTCAAATAGAACACTTGAAAGCATTGAAATGCAGCTGATAACAAAATTGAAATATAATTCGAAGTGCAAAGGGTTAATAATCCGCCTTGAATTTGAGTCTAGTTTGCTTCTATCTCGAATATCTTTTTGCAACGATCGAATAGTACGAGTAATCCAATTTGCAAAAAAAAAATCTCGCCAAGGGTGGAAGGGAATTCAAGGGTGTCGATTGTAAACGACGTCGACTGATTCGTCCGGCGTGAAAAGTCGCTTTTGGGGATCCAGCGAGCCGGAAGTTCCTTTCCTCGAGCTGTCAAAGGCCTCTCGTACCCCTTTAATCGGCGCGAAGGGGGTGGAAAATCGACTCTTTGATTTAATTCTCGCTTTCAGGCCGGTGAAAGTGTCCCCGAAAATGGAAGACGGGGGAAACGTGAAATTATTCTCGATTTTGGTGCTATTAACGCTGTATCGTTCTTTGCCCCATTGACAGAGCGGACGGAGTGGACCATCCACATAAATAAATGCGAGATCTTTGCAGATGCGCGCGACAGCTGTCGATCCTGCGTCGATCACGTGCATCTCGAGCGGGCTAATGCCACTATCGACGATTTCTCGGTATAATTAACATACTTTCTGTTGATCAGACGGCGGCTGACATCGCGGGGATCCCGATCTACGTAACCAGCAGCGGATATCGATTCAATATCGATCGGATATATCGTTTCTCATCGTTTGACGAACATTTCGCTCCGCCAGGGCTTCATTTTTTCTCACGTACAGGTCTCCCCCTCTGTTTTTCCCCCTCGATCTCTGGTAAACACGTGAAATTCATACACCCTACCCCCTACCGGTAGCCCGCTCCTACGACAGATGCGCACAACGTTTGGAAATAATTTGTGCGAGACCGAACGTGCGGGATCAGAGTTCGATCGAAGTTGGAAAGTTTCGTGATGCAGTGATCCGAGGAGACCGTGACACGCCGACTCTCAGCCGCACCAGAGAGAATGGACAAGGACAGGCATGCGCAAGGTGAGTGGTATTTTTCGTTTTGTTCGTCGATTATTCCGTTCTCGCGGTTTCTCGATCACAGAGGGATGCTACAATTTAAGCGAATTGCCCAGTGTCGCCCAGCGAAATCATTTTTAAGAACGGGGATTCTATAACACCGAACAGTAGCTGGAAAAAGGTCGCCGTAAGCAGACCATAGAAGCAAGGCAATCAAGCATTCTCGCGACTAAAACCGTCCCCATAAACGTGGACTCCTCGACAGCCTGCACCTCGCGTGCAAACACCATACCTGCCCCAACGACAAACATTTTCCCAAAATATTTAAACATTTAAAGAAGAACATTCCTGATACACCCTCCTCCCAAGCACCACCGATTAGAAGCCATCCATCTCGCCCTTTCCACTGATGAAACCAACCATAACTTCACCGAGTCGAAAAGCGCCGAAAAGATACCTCTGTTAGAGAGAAATCAGTCAACGCTCATTCAGAATACACACCAAGAGTCATCTACTTGTTTTCAAATAAAGACTCAACGAACGACGTCTTTGCTTCTGTGAAGCACCCTAACTACTCACACAATTTTAAGTAGGCGTGTGAGGTACGCGTACAAACATCTAGATCCGCGAGATGAGAACGATCTTTAAGTGAATTTCGTGGCAGAGATCAAGCAATTGATGTTCCAGTGTTCACAGAGTGATCTAACTGCAGAGAATTTGGGTGTACTCTCTGAGGAAGCACAACAACACTGTTTCAACCCTTTGCAAATCAATAGAATTCAATTTCATTGTCGTACATTCCCGAAAAAAAGCATAAAGATTGCACAGTTTGCTCGAACTGAGAAATACCTGAAGGAAGAAGGGAAATCAATCTTTTTTGGGGGGGGGAAACAAGTTTCAAGAGATATCATTGTGGGTGGATGTTTGGAACGTTCACCGATTGCCTAGATCCGCGAGATGAGAACGATCTTTAAGTGAATTTCGTGGCAGAGATCAAGCAATTGATGTTCCAGTGTTCACAGAGTGATCTAACTGCAGAGAATTTGGCTGTACTCTCTGAGGAAGCACAACAACACTGTTTCAACCCTTTGCAAATCAATAGAATTCAATTTCATTTTCGTACATTCCCGAAAAAAAGCATAAAGATTGCGCAGTTTGCTCGAACGGAGAAATACCTGAAGGAAGAAGGGAAATCAATCTTTTTTGGGGGGGGGAAACAAGTTTCAAGAGATATCATTGTGGGTGGATGTTTGGAACGTTCACCGATTGCCTAGATCCGCGAGATGAGAACGATCTTTAAGTGAATTTCGTGGCAGAGATCAAGCAATTGATGTTCCAGTGTTCACAGAGTGATCTAACTGCAGAGAATTTGGGTGTACTCTCTGAGGAAGCACAACAACACTGTTTCAACCCTTTGCAAATCAATAGAATTCAATTTCATTTTCGTACATTTCGTACTGTTTCTGTGAGACCAATGATCGGTATCTTGAAGTTCAAATTTTAAAAATATTTCATTTTTGCAATTTCTGCTGCATTAATAAAAACTGAGTTTTTGATGAGATTTATAAATTAATTTGTTCACGAAAGCTTCTAGTTCGTTAATTTCATTAATATTTCTTGTTTTTTTAAGACGAATAGTGATCTTGAAGTTCAAATTTTAACAATGTTTCATTTTTGCAATTTCTACATATTTGCATTAATAAAAGCTGAGTTTTTTATGAGATTTATAAATCAATTTTTCACGAAAGTTTCTAGTTTATTAATTTCATTAATATTTTCTTGTTCCTATAAGACGAATGATCGTTTTATTTTGAAGATTTTTCTGTACTTTCCGGGTGAATTCAGTATTCGAAGAAGTTTATCTTCAACATTGATTTTTGAAAATCAAGGCGGAAATATGTAATTGAAAATCGAGCCGAAAGGAAGCGCAGAAAAGGTCGCAACCATTGAGGCTCGAGATGATGCTTTCAGCCTCCATAAATCCAGGTTTTTATTCAGGAATAATACAGCTACCGGATAATCTCAGGAAGAGTATAAAAATTATAGAAATATTTTATCTGTACAATTAATATAACTTTGATGTCTGATAAATAATACATTTGATGCACGTGAAATTAATAATAACACGAATGACCTACTTTCCATGTTTCACTAAACAAGAGCTATCGTGATAATGATGAATTATATGACGAGAAAAAGTTATTTGTTCGATTATTAAACGAGACTTAGATTCTTTAGTACACTGACTTTTGAGGAAAGAATTGTCATAATTTAATTGACATACGTAGATTTAATAATAAGTCGATATTCTTTTATACAGGGTGTTCGGCCACCTCTAGCAAAAATTTTAATGAGCGGCAGTAGAGGCCAAAATAAGACGAAAATCAAGAATACTAATTTGTTGATGGAAGCTTCGTTAAAAAGTTATTAACAATTAAATTCAAAAATTTCAAATCGTTCTGGAAAAATTATTTTCGGTTGCGGGGGTCAACTATAATCATTTTTGGTGAGTACACATACCTCCGAAATCCTATCTACTTTCGAGAAAAAAAATCGAGTAGGTGCTGAAATTTTTCGGCGAAAAAAAAATTTTCAAATCGTTTTAAAAAAATTATTTTCGGTTGCGGGGATCAATTACAATCATTTTTTATCATTACACATACCTCCGAAATCGTACGCACTTTCGAGAAAAAAATTCCTTACTGAAAATCCAATTAGGTGCCTAAATTTTTCAACGGAGAAAAAAAATTGCAAATCGTTGTGGAAAAATTATTTTCGGTTGCGGGGGTCAATTGCAATCAGTTTTTGTCATTAGACATACCCACGAAATCCTGCCCACTTTCGAGAAAAAAAATAGAGAAGGTGTGAAATTATTCGAGAAAATTAAAAAATTGCAAATCGTTGTGGAAAAATTATTTTCGATTGTAGGGTTCAATTACAGTCATTTTTGGTGAATAGACATACCCCCGAAATCTTGCGCATTTTCGAGAAAAAAATTCAGTAAGGGCGGCACTTTAAACGTTAATAACTTTTTAACGAAGCTTCCATCAACAAATTGGTATTCTTGATTTTCGTCTTATTTTGGCCTCTACTATCGTTTATTAAAATTTTTGCTAGAGGTGGCCGAACACCCTGTATATGTAGGTATATACAATAAACTTTTAATTTAATCAAATTTATTAACGATATTGCAATGTGTAGGACATAACAATTAAAACTAAATTCAAAGATTTTTGTAAATATTAATTTCAAAATTCTTCAATTTTGTAAACATTAATTTCAAAATTCTTCAATTCTGTAAATGTTAATTTCAAAATTCTTCAGTTTGTAAATATTAATTTCACAATTTTTCAATTTTGTAAACATTAATTTCAAAATTCTTGAGTTTTGTAAACATTAATTTCAAAATTCTTCAATTTTGTAAACATTAATTTCAAAATTCTTTAATTTTGTAAATGTTAATTTCAAAATTCTTCAGTTTGTAAATATTAATTTCACAATTTTTCAATTTTGTAAACATTAATTTCAAAATTCTTGAGTTTTGTAAACATTAATTTCAATATTCTTCAATTTTGTAAACATTAATTTCAAAATTCTTTAATTTTGTAAATGTTAATTTCAAAATTCTTCAGTTTGTAAATATTAATTTCACAATTTTTCAATTTTGTAAACATTAATTTCAAAATTCTTGAGTGTTGTAAACATTAATTTCAAAATTCTTTAGTTTTGTAAACATTAATTAAAAAATTCTTCAATTTTATAAACATTAATTTCAAAATTCTTCAATTTTATAAACATTAATTTCAAAATTCTTCAATTCTGTAAATGTTAATTTCAAAATTCTTCAATTCTGTAAATGTTAATTTCAAAATTCTTCAATTCTGTAAACATTAATTTCAAAATTCTTCAATTTTGTAAATATTAATTTCAAAATTCTTCAGTTTTGTAAATATTTCGACGGCAACTCACGTTCGAACTAATAAATTAATGAATTAAAATTGAATTCGTTTCTACATAGATACTCGAAAAAAGTTTTGACATCGTTAACTATCAGTTACTCGACAATTTAATAAAGTAGAAACATAAAATACGTAATTTATTGCAACATTGTACGAAGACTTTTATACAGAAATTGAAACAGTTACGAAGTGATGTAAGCACTTAAAAAGCTCGTAGAATTTTAAGAGAAATTCTCTTTGAGACACGAGGTATAGCATTTTGTAACCTATGTAAAATGTTAATTTCTTGACTGAAGCTTTATTAAAAAGTTATTAAAAAATAAAACTAAAAAATTTCAAATCATTCTAAAAAAATTATTTTCGGTTGCTGGGGTCAATTACAATCATTTTTGGTTATTACACATATCCCCGAATTCCTAATCATTTTCGAGAAAAAAATTCAGCAAGTGGGCAAATTTTTTGACAAAATTGAAAACTTTCGAATCGTTTTAGAAAAATTATTTTCGCTTCCAGGGGTCAATTACAATTATTTTTGGTCATTACACATATCCCCGAAATCCTACGCATTTTCGAGAAAAAAATTCAGTAAGTGGACAAATTTTTTCACAAAATTGAAAATTTTCAAATCATTCTAAAAAAATTATTTTTAGTTGCAGGGGTTGATTGCAATCATTTCTGGTCATTACACATATCTCCGAATTCCTAGCCATTTTCGAGAAAAAAATTCAGTAAGTGAGCATATTTTTTGATAAAATTGAAAACTTTCAAATCATTCTAAAAAAATTATGTTTAGTTGCAGGGGTTGATTGCAATTATTTTTGGTCATTACACATATCCCCGAAATCCTAATCATTTGCGAGAAAAAAATTCAGAAAGTGGGCATATTTTTTGATAAAATTGAAATCTTTGGAATCATTCTAAAAAAATTATGTTGAGTTGCAGGGGTTGATTGCAATCATTTCTGGTCATTACACATATCTCCGAATTCCTAGCCATTTTCGAGAAAAAAATTCAGTAAGTGGACAAATTTTTTGTCAAAATTGAAAATTTTCGAATCGTTTTCGA